TGATGGAACAATTGTTACTTTTCCATTATATTCCTTCTGTTATCTGAAGATAATTTCTTTTCATTTAAAATCCCTGATTCCAACCTAATTCCAACCTAATGTGTTGTCTTTCTAAAAAAAATATTTTCCAAATGATTTAGATTTCCAAATGAGCATGAGAACAGGAAACATGGGCAGGAGCGGTCTTTCTGCTTTATAATCCTTACTTGACTACTTGAAGAATAACACAATAATTTCTTTTACAAGTATTTTTAACCATTCCAAATGATACAGACATAAAACAGGATTCCTTAATTCTTAATCATGTTTTCTGTTTAATCAGAAGTAATAAAAGCCTACATTTCTTCTTTCCTTTTTCTCTGTAACATTCTTCAGGAGCATAATAGATTTCAACCACTGCTGTTATTTATACTGGATGCTTTAAAAGAATATAGCAATGTTAAAACCTCACCCCACAGAAGTCAACATGATTTTTCAATGTTTAGAATTAAGTCACAATTCCATTATTGGGCTTTATTACTTAAGAAAATAAAAGATGTAAGTACCTTCCTCCCCACCCACTATACCCCAATAATTTAGCAGTTTAATGTCTGGAAGAGGAGGAAGAAATGTAAGACATGGCAAATTTGTAGAGTATAAYGTGACCTTCCCTGTTCCATTACAACATAACAACATCATGAAAGGTCTGGACATAAAAGATGATCTTGTTCTTCTAAGATGCTTGGGATCTAGAAGTCAAATGGCTCTTTTTAGAAGAAACATAAAAAGTTGCTGTACTGGGAGAATCTGAATTGTTCTTTTGGTTAAATGGTTAAATTAGCAGTTTCTAAGGAATTAAGACTTACAACATACATCATAGAATGGAAGACTAGACATAACATTAAGACTAGCTTCTCATACAAGTGRAATACTAAATATTTACTTTTTTCAGCTTTTTTTGGTCAAAAGGTTTCACCTGGTGTGATTTTAACTTCTCTTGTGGAAAAAAAAGCAAAGTAGAAATTGGGTAATGGCATGAAGGACTGCAGTAACTATTTTCATATCTCTTTTTTTCCTTGTTATTACAAAGGAAATTAAAAAGAAGAAAAAAAAAAAAAACCCGCAAAAGTAGCAACTAGGTCAGGTCATGAGTCATCTACTCTAGAACTCTATCTTTACTACAGGTTACAGCTTCTCTGTGAAAAGGGACAGAAAGATCTAATGTACCTCAAAGAAAAGGTAGAGCCTTGATTTTTGAAGATAAGATGAAATCAAATTGAAAATTGCAGTAGAAGGCCTTGTTTCATTCTGCTCTGAAAGGAATCAATGTCACAYGTCCCTTTGTCTGCTTTAGCATAGTCTCTTGCACTACACAAGAATTGCATACTCAAACGTGCAGTGTGATTACACTATGATTTTTGTTTTAAGTATTTGTACTCTATTCACAGTCCCTCTTACTGTTTTTAATGTCCTAGTTATGTTCCACAAGGAGCTTTTGAACTTTAATGAAGGAGATTTGCAACAAGAAAGCCACTTTCTACAACACTTTCTACAAAAACAACTTGAAAAGTTTGGAACAATGTTCTGGGCAGAATTTTTATATGCAAGTGGGAGCTAAATGCAGAATGAGAAGATCTCTTTCAAATGTTTTACTAATTTTCATTAGGTTTGTATGAGTTTGTAAAATCCAGTGGAGGATTTTAATCATATTCCACCCTTTATACTATAGTGATCACAATGCTAATCTCTGTAATTGTACATTTCAAATGTACAAATGTACATTGTACTTTTCAAGCTGTGAATGATTGACATTGATTTTAAAAAGAATATTTTTTACGGAGGAAAATATTGGTGGATTCACAGAGAACTATCGTAAGCCAAAAATTAATTATATATATATATGAATGTATTATCAGAAAATAAGCTATTCTCAGTTTCTTCTGTTTCCTCTTGAAAATGTATGTGAACAGAATATATATGAATAAAATTTTGTGAAGAACAAAGTGAGGTATCAGATCCATGGTATCTAAAAAGAACTTAAAGAAGAAATCGATTTTCAACATCTGCAGCAGTTGAGCAACATGTCTAGTTAACATGAGTAAAAATATGGACTCAATGGAGTGAAAAAAAAAAGTCTAATAAAAATTTGGCATTTCTGTATGTCTTAAAAAGTGTCACACTGCCAAGATCMATAAAATCTTCTGAAATTATAGTTTTCTTTTTTCATTGGCTCTCCATTTTTAGCATTACTTTGCTTAGTATCTCAAAAATRCTCTTACTGCCCAGAGCTCATCCACTGCAGCATTTCCCAGGGCCATCACTTTTTCATGCAGCCCAGCCTTTCAGGCTGGACTGGCCTTGACTCTTCCAAGCACATTGCACAAGGATGGTAGTAAAGACCATCTGCAGAACCAGACTCAGCTGGTCCAAATAAAATCTCTCTCAGGGAGAAAAGAAAATATCACATATCTTAAAAAAAATATTTGAACAATTCCTAAGGGTCTTTAGATTTGATAAATGTCAAGAACTCTAAAAATATAGTGCAGTCATGTTGTAATACAGTGTAGTGGAATTTGCTGTCAACTTTATTCATACAGGGGTGCTACTGACTTGTAATTTCTTTGAAATTTCTTWAAAAAAAAATCTTTTACAGAGTCTGTATTACTGAAATCCTTGTGCCTTTTACCACTACACGGATTGTAGATGATTTTGTAAGATCTATTACTGCCTGGAGTGACAAAATGCTACAGTGCTGGACTAAATTTAGAGGGGAAAGAAAAAAAGAAAAAAAAAAAGAGAGAGAGAGAGAGAGAGAAGCAGACCTTTAATTACAGTTCCCACAAAGAGAAAATCTGGCACCATGCCAATTCTTGCATTAACTATCCCACATTTATTAAGACATTTCTTCTACCTCAATTAATTTACATTACATACTAGTATTGGCATAACTCCTGCACTCCGGATCTCAAGATGTACACTATTAATGCTATAGTATGGTAATAAACAATCTCCTATATAACTTGCAAGCATATGAAATGCGTATTTTAGAAAATGTGCACAGCAGCTGAAGACTGGATAATATGCTTATTAGGTCTGCAACTTTCTCATATTTCTTGTAATATACTACAGAGAGGGCCACAGAAAGGCTCTTCTTAATCTACGAGACAAGTATACAGTCTTGTTGCAAGCTGATCAGTAGTAACTTTTTTATTTTGTACTATTCTAYCTAATCTCTGCAAGTTTACAAGAACTGTTCTATTGTTATTTTCCCACTGTTCTTTTCTTCTGGTGTTACATACAACCTACTTTAGCATTTCACAATCTACCCTGTTTATTACAGAATAGTTAGAGAACCCAAAACTGAAGGGAAAAAATATATATTCAATTATGTAATGATATAATGTTTGGAAATTTACATAGATATCACAGAAAATTCAGGAAATGCAAGATTTCAGATTTGTGGTATGATGCTGAGTTTTCTTATTAAGATTCCTATTGATTAAATAAAACTTATGGACATCTGGTARCACCATGAAAATGTTAAATGCTTTGTGTTAAAATTAAAGGTTTAAGCTTTTCAAGAATGCTCAGGCTGTTGTTATTACCCTCCATTTTTAGAACTTTAGAAGAGATACAATATGATCCTTGTTGGAGTTCCTTTATGTTTAATAAATCTTAGTTCCCTAAGGCTTCACCTTGCAACAGCTTGGGCAAGATCCAAGTTTGATTCTTTTTCACTCCCACCATTTACAATATTTCTCAGGGATCCCTTACCTCAGTGCTCCAAAGATCTCTTTCTCATTCTGGAAAGCATGGAAGAGAAAGTATTGTGAAGAAGGCTCTTCTTTCCCCTTCCCTCCCCCTTTTTTTTTAATATATTTGCCAAATTAATCAATAAATCTAGTCACCACAAATAAGAGATGTCCTCATGTCTAAATATAAAATGGCTATATATTCATTACTTATATCTTTTTTGCTAATACCTTGTTGCTCAGTATTTTTGCCCCACCTGTTTGAAAACCATTAGGCAGATCTGTGAGATTACAATTTTCAAATAAAGTTAAATTTCAGAAAAGCTGATAAAAATAGCGTAAATCCACTTTTACAGCTGTAAAATAAAGCACATACTATAGACATTTTATACACATAAGTATTTTTGTACTGTCATCATGACTTGGCAGTGAAGACTAAGGGAAAGAATAGAAGAAAAAAAGAAAATTGGAGCTTATGCATATTATTAGTCCTATATGTTCCAGAAGTGTTCTTTCTTTAAGGCAATTGCAAGGGATACTGCTGCCTTAAGGGATGGTGAGGGATGAGAGATGGTCTGCAACTTCACTTGGTTTATAATCAAAGGAAATTTTTTCCATATTACTATTTCACAGCATTAAGATAAGTATTAACGTATGATTCATCAAAGGCATTTTACTGGCCTGCCCAGCACTCCACCAGGAAAGTATTTCCCACTTGGGCTTTTGGGTTCAGAAAGTTTCGACAAATTATAGAAAAGACTTGACCTTAAGTCTTTATGACTAATCAAAAGTGAACTACATCACTTTAAACCTGATTAAGAGCCTCTACTCTGAGATTTACTGCTTTTCCTGTTTTTTAAATTTTTCCTCATTTAGCACCTTAATTAATTTGTCTGAATATTTTAAAGAATCACTTCTTAGAGAACAGATCTGTTTTAGAGAACATCTCATCATTATTCATCACTAAGCAATTTCATTACTGTCTTGAGAGCACTAAAACTTCACAGTCCTGTATCTCTTGGCAAAGTCTTTTTAAACATGAATTTTGGAATATCTGCAGTATACCTCAAACCAGTTAGATGAGTACCTTAGAATTATTTTAATCAATTCAAGGAAACTTTTGAGTTTGGCCTAGAAATACAAAGAGAAACAGATCCCTGGGATGTCTGCAGACTGTGGCAGAATTGCAGTAATAGCTAGGTGATAGAGAGGAGCAGCAGATGTCTCATCTCAGCCTTATCTCACCATCAATAACATGCAGTGACTTACCTGTTTAACAGCATAAAGGAGACGGCTGTAGCAGTACACCATCACCACCACAGGAACAACCAAGCAGAATATGAAGAGACAGATGATGTAGGATGTAGATTTGGCCGACTCAGAGGACCAGCGTACCGAACAGCTGGTCCCTGCGCCCTCTATCCCATAACTGCTCCATCCGATCAGAGGTGGCACAGTCCAGAGCAGGGAGTAAATCCACGAACCACCAACTGCGAGCAAGACTTTCCGATAGTCGGCGCTGCGCTTGTTGCACAGGGTGAGAGTGCTGTATCGCTCGTAGGACAGGACAGCCAAGGAGATCAAGGACACGATTCCTGCAACCAACCAAGCAGTGTGAACACTTACTTTCACTGCTTTATCTGGTATCACTTTAAAAATTAGAGAAACTAGACCCTTTTTCTGGTTATTACATTATTTGAAGCAACAATTAAAGTTATTCTCTAATTTTAAATCCATCCTGGACCCTCCTGTTTTGTTCAGCACGTCAATTTTTGTTTAAATTGCATTTAGCTTACTGGAAGTCTTTCATACTTAAAAGTTATTTCTCTTTTCATACTTAAGAGTTATTTGTCTTCTAGGCAGGTTTTCAAAGTTAACTGTTTTAGACTTATATAGGGAAATCCTTTTCCTCCACAAGAACTAATAACTTGGTGAAAGGTTTACTGACAAAAAAAAATTCAGATTTAGAGTTTCAAGAGCCTTTTCCAAAATTGCACTGACTTTGAGACATGCAAAAATCTATATTTTCAAGATTAGAAGTCCAAAAATGGAGGAATTTTTTTTTTTTTTTTTTTGCACTGCTGCTTCATGCATTCATCAATATCTTCAGTTCTGCTCAATGGTAAGTTTAATATAGCAAGTCACAATTTTTTATATATATATATATATATATATATGTCTAATAATCTGGCAAGTATGATTTAGCATTGAGGCAAAGACATTGGAAAAAATCTGTATCCTCCAGCAGATCTAAAAATCTGGGCTCAACTCTCTTCTCCAAGGTTCAAGATCCCACCTCCCTCTGGATTTGTTTGACTCATTCCTAGTCATGAATCAGTGTTTTACAACTACTTTCAGTATTTCCTATCCTTCCACTAGTCATTGGCAACACAACAGTGGATACCAGTTGCTGGGACTTACTACAGAAGGTACTTGTTACAAGAAATTACTTATTACAAGATTATTTTTTTTCRAATGGAGTCTAGGCCCCTGCTTTTGGTTCTGCTAGATGCAAAACTTGAATCAATACAGACCTCCTTGCTCTTTTCAGGAAAATTTCTTCTTGAACCTTTCTGTTACTTACAGCCAGGTTTGCAATACTCTGAGGCATATGTTGACAAATTCTCTGAGTGAATAGTACCTATTTCTTGAAAACCTGAAAACAAAATAGTAAATCTGTAAGGAAATTCACATCTGTAATTCACTTCCCCCATTTTGGGGGAAAATTATCTGTTTCTCCTGGAGTTTCCTCCCACATGTGCAGTGGTAATAAGTCAAAGACTCATCAGAGGACTAAGTTGGTCCATGCTGTCGAAGCATTCTCCCCAAGCCATACACACCCTGTAAGCAGTGAGGATCATTTACCAGAACAGAATCTCATTTTTCTTTCCCCTGAAATTCAGGCATCCATTTCCTGGTGAGCTGAATGAAGATACATCTGTTCCTGCCAACCTGACAAAAATCTGCAGCCTTGGTGCAGAGTTGGTGTTGGTAAAAGGCCCAGTGTGGGCATGAGCACTGTTTGCTTAAAGAGAATTGCTTATATCTCAGGGGAAGTGAAGAATAAAAGGTAAGATGGAATTGAGAAAACGACAACTTTTAATGAAGAAAATATTTCTTCTATTTCAAGGGCCCCTGAATTCTTTTCTGTATACAACTAGGAAGTCAGACCTACAAAGCGGCAATGCTTACAGCTGTAAAATCATGCAACTCCACTGAGTTCATTTGAATTACACAGCTTTAGAGTCCATCTTTAAACCTATTTAAGACTAAACTTAGATGGGTTTTAGCGACAGTGAAGACAGTGAAGACTTTCTGGTCATTTGTTATATAATCTGATTTCCAATGTAACAAAAGACTGTGCAGCTCTTGAAATCCTTCGGCCATAATTCCAGCATTAGACCCATATCTTGAGATAGGAAAAAAAAAGGAGAAAAGAAAAAAGAAAAGAAAGAAAAAGAAAAGGATTTTKAATTASAGAATCAGGAACAAAGAATCTCTTCTACCAGAAACATTTAGTGCTCATGAAAAAATCTAGATTTTATATTTGAAACACACGCACTAGGCCTATTTACAAGATCTGTAAGATCTGTTTACCCATTTCAGATTACATCATCATAGACCATCATCAATATGAAAAAATTTTGGAAACCAGAAATCTCTCYCCTCCCAGCTGAATGTTCTACCATTCATTATGTTATTCTTGCTTTATCTCTGATGGCAAACAAGGGTACAAATAACCTATTTTTTAACAAGCAGAAAAATATATTTTTCCTAAGAGTATTACACAGTGTTGTGAGTATAAAATTGCCTAGGAAATCTACACAGGGTGATCAGACTTTCCTACATCAGRATCCTGTTTCCTGCATGGAAGCTGACTCTCACTCTACTGCTTGTCCCTACAGATGCACTATTATCCATTGGCTTCTCATGACGTATATTGTCATAATTTAGAGTATTCTTTAACATTTCATCCCATTTTTATCTACTAGCTAACAGACAAAAGAATATTCAGCTTATTTTCATGCTGTTATTTATGACAAATGCCTTTAGATCAGTGGATCTGGAATTAATTATAGGCTAGGAGGTGTTTGCTTTGAGCCAAGGAAAACTCCTGTCTCTAACTGACACAGAATTAAGAATCAGTTTTTTAATCAGTACTATGGCATTGTCAGACAAGAAATAATCAAGTATCAGCAATCAGACAAAAACACAAAAACTTCATGCAATTTCCTTTAAATTACAGAAAATATTGTTTTCTTCTCTGCACAAAAAAAAAGACTGCAGATTCTTAATTACCATCTTGGCAGGAGCCATTACATCTTTACTCACCTTTTATTATTGAGTTCCACTGACATGGCACATATTACCTTATTTTCTAGAGAACAGGAATACATGGAATTCCAAACTATGGGTAAAAGTACATATATATATATGTATAACACAGATACATAACAGACTGAATGAGCTGTCAGCAGAAGCGCACTGCTGAATGTTAGGAGTGAAGAGCAGAGTTTGCTGCAGCACCTCTCTGCACTATACTGCCAATGCCCATGCAGGGGCTGCATTCCTGCAGCACCAAGTTTTCCTGCAAGCTTATTCCCTGCCTAGGTGAAGGAAGAATGGGCAGGAATGCATTGTTGGTGGGAATGCGTGAAAAGCAAAAGCACTGTTTGCCTAAACCAGCTCTTCTGTCTCTTCTGTTTCATTAGCACAGCTGAGAGTGTTTCTAGCCTCTATTGAGGACAGGCTTCTATGCCTTTATTTATATATTTATTTTTGYCTTGAAAAGTTTTGGATGTGAAACGAACACATTTCAGCAGTTTCTGCGGAAGCCAGCAGAACTCTGGACTGTGAAGCAAATTGTAATCCTATGTAGATAAAGTTTCTTATTTTTCATTGCATTTCAGAATTTTCTTAATGTCTTATGCATTTAACTGCTGTAGCCTTTGATAAAAATCCAGTTATCCAGTGTTCTCTTTCACACCATATCTATTGCAGCCAAGTGAATTTGTTTGAATCTCAGCTTCAAGGGGGGAAGAGGGAAAAAAAAAAAAGGGCAATTAAATACTTCAGAGTAGTGTAGTGGTTGATGGTCAAGACTCCATAGCCTTAATAGCCAGAAAACTTTTTTTTTTTTAATCTTGAAATTATAAAAAGAAAACAAAATTATAACTTTAAAGCTAATTACAATGCTTTGGCTTTAACATTTAGTACTTATTTTACAGTAACATTTACAACTGAATAGACTGCATATATGAATTTCAAATGAGTAATGTTCTATAAAATTGCAATAARATTTATTTAAGGAATTCTATGTGTAAGTTTAACCTTCTCCAAGAAATAATCAGGGACTTGAACTCATACCAGGCCACATAATTCTACAGAAGTCAAAGGCACAGACAAACTAAATTTTCTGCCCCAACATTTAAATCATAAACAGGAACAAAGCCAGCTTCTCTCCAAACAGTACCGAGAGATGACATAAAAACCCTTTGCAAATTACATTAGAGGGACAAATAGTTCTTTAAAAACTAGCCATTGAAGTAAGTGACTTAGAGACAAGCTGGGTCTGAGGCATGAGGCTCTTCTAGAAAGCAATGAATTGCAGTGAGTAGATTGCCAGAATTCAATTTCAAGTCATAAACCAGGACAGACATCCATTTATTGGATTGCCATCTGAGACATTATCTACTATTTGCTTTGTTTATATTAAAAAAAAAACTCTTTAAATTTCTTCACAAAACCACAGCACAGGGAGCATTGCCTTAGATGAAGGGCACAGYGAATCACCGAGCTTTGTTCCTCTGGGCCCCAATTAAGAATATTACATTTCCATATTATTTTTTGGTATTTCACATTGGTCCTGTGATGCAGTAATTAGAAACAGGTTGCCAGTGGCCTGAGGGTTACGAAAAAATAATAATTTTAGAGATTTTGCCTGTACTGGATATGTATTTTGACTGCTCACTTATGAGCGTTTTACTTCCTGAGGTTTCCTGGTCATTATCCCTCACTGTGATCGGGCTCCTGGCTGATGAAGGCTGCATGGCAGAAGGTGTATCTTACACTGTGTTTCTGAAGGAAAAGAAATTAGATAGTCTTCACATGTTTATGAGGGTCCATACATATACGCATGTGTGCATGTACATTARGGTCCATACATATATGCATGTGTGCATGTCTCTCCTTAGAAATGCCACGTTGGAAATTTTCCAGTAATAATGGTAATGATAAAACTACATACTGTTTGCTATCTACTGTAGCACAGCCATGCTCCCTCAGTGCCTCTAGTTGCAACTACTGAAAGTGCTGCTCCATCAGCTGGAGAATACGATAAGATACTCTCTGATACTATTAGATGAAGAAATAAGTAAGTAAAAGGAGGAAAGGTCCTTGCAGCAAAGTATACCTGAAGCTGGGGACATTGCAGAGTACAGAGATATTTTTATGTGATTTCTTCTGGCTGAAATCTTTCATTGGGTTTGCCCAAACCATTAGAAGTAAACATAGATTCACAGTGATAAGAATGGTACCACAATAGCAGTAACAACAGAACAACAAAAGGCTCCTACTACCTCAGTTTTAAGTTTTT